AACAGCCGAACAAAGGCTTGCAGACCATACACCAATAGTTATACTACATTCTCACATTACATAACCTATTGCGTAAAATATTACAACACTGGTGATGGAATATGAAGAATGACAAAGAGAATAGTGCATTTTGTGATGCTTTCTTGGTATCGCATGGCAGATCTGGACTCGAATAAACCATTTTCTACTGATGGAATTATCAAACGAGTATTTTACGTGAATTTGTGGCCACATTTTTTTTATGTTCTGGTTCCCACGAAAAGGGATATCCTGTAATGTACAGAGAACATCGTGAGAATCGAGGCAAATGAGGTAGGATTTGGTGTTCTTTTTGAATTTCTGGAGGTTATATGCCTCGGGAAACACTTTCCTTGACAATGTTTTCCAAAGCCTCGCTGTTTGTTGAAAAAACGAGTGTTCGAAAAGAGATGTTCTGCAGGTCTTCGAAGTGACCACAAAGGTGTGCGAAGCCTCAACTCAACGGGCTAATTTTGCGAAGACTGCCAAGGAAGTAAAAATTGTTGATATTCCAGAAGAGCATCGTCTATGGAAATATCTATGAAATTGAGCCAGATTGCCAATTTTTCTACGGTGTTCCAGGGAAGTGAGTGGGTTTGTGAGCGAGGCATCACCCTCGAGATGGTTGGCATTTTTTTGGACAGAATCCAACAGTATCGGGGTATGTTTGGGTGCTGCACTCCAAATATGGGAACAGCATTCCAGGACGAATCGGATCTGTGACTTATAGACCATCAGCAGATGACTTGAAGTAGAATAGGTCCTGGCCCATAACAGAAAACCAAGTTTTTGGGATGCACTTCCAGCAATTGATCTCACGTAATCATATCAAGTATGGTTATTGCTGATAGTAATTCCAAGCATCGGAATGGATGTCTTCAAAAGTATGGTTACTCCTGACAAGCTTATGTTGAGCACAGTGAGATCGGCTTTTCTAGAGAAAAGGCATGCTTGTGTTTTGTTCGCATTGAAATCTACCAAGTTATTGGATTCCCATTCGAGAATTGTTGCCAGTCCATATTTATGTTGTCAACATTTCTCCCTCGGTCGTTTCTGATTTGCCTAGCTGGTATTGAAGCCCTGGAAGAGAGGACGGTATATGGAGGGTACTATCATCCGCGAAGCTGTGTACTGGACATGGAGTTGCTTTCAAGAAGTCGTTGATATGGAGTAGAAATAGTGTTGGTGCTAGAATTGATCCTTGCGAAACACCAGCATTTATGATGAGAGAGACAGATGAAATTTCGTCGACCACTACATGGAGAGACTTGTTTGAGAGAAAACTAGCTAGCAGAGAACATAACTGGGGAGGCAAGCCATAAGATGAAAGCTTGGCGAGGAGTCCGTGGTACCAGACTCGATCGAATGCCTTGGAGATATCAAGTGCCACGGCTAAGGTTTCACGATATTTTCCAATAGATTACTGCTATATGTGAGACGTGAGCGAGCTGGTCTCCAGTTGATCCCTGATGACGGAAGCCATATTGCCTATCGTTGATAATACCAGAATGATATCAGAGAGTTGAAGTAATCACTGTAAGTAGAACTTCACGAAGCCGATAACGTACGAAATAACGTTTACGTATTGTCGTTGAATTGTGTTGAAGTCGTCACATTGGTCGTCAATCTGTCATGATACATTTTGTTTTCGGTTTGTATTGGTCATTTTTGGTTGTGTGTTGCGATCCGAAGATTCATGTCTGTTAAAATGAGAGAACTTCCTGATGCAAAACTCGTTGGGGATCCCGAATTTGATAATTTTGACTCATAGACATATTTGGAGTATAGTTTGGTTAACGAACGTTGATATTTGAGGTTCACGTAAACGCAAACGTGAAGAATTGGAAAATGCGCATGCGTACCAGCCATTTTCTACGTTAAAGTTCACGTTCATGACAGTACTTCAACTCTCCATTATTGTTCGCCATTTCATCATGAACGCATATTCAGAGTTGTCCCTGGGTTAAAAATTTGTTCAATGACATTGACAGTCGAACTTTAATGTTTGGAAAGAATTACAAGATTTATTCTGAGAGTCATTCCATAATACTTGATGTTTTCGAGAATCCATGTTGGTTTCTTGAAGGAGCTCCTCTAAGCCATGAGTGATGTCGGAAGCTTCGACTTCTCGCCCAGTTCCTCTCTGAGATGTCGCATTTAGGTCATCAAATGTTGAAAATGCGAATCGCCAACAGGCCAAGGACGAATGATGAGGGCTTGTGGGCCGAAATAGTGATGCCTCGCTCTTATTGACAATTGGTACCAGTTATGAAATCGGGTTCTATATAAACAGGCAGTAGTTACTGAGCCTTCAGAGAACCAATTATTGACACACAAATCGGCTGTTTATAACGAATTCTATCGAGGAATAGATTATTGAACATATTCATCTCGAAATTGATACAATAACAAATCAATAGCAGTGCTAATTATTAGATGTTAGAATTTCAACAATGCTATTTAGAATTATATTACAGCACTTATACAATGTATAATGCTTGCATGATTTATTGACACCTACAATCTACATTTATCCGTTTTTGACACACTATGTACCTCGAAGAAAATCATGAATTGAAAGCAATATGTGATTAATATTGGGTGTCAATAACTGATCAGGGCAAAATATATTGTTCATCATTCATTTAATCTGAGTTCATTTCGAAATTGAATCAGATTTCAGGAATGATATATCGTGAATGAATATCACTGTTGACATTGAGGTAGTTTTTGATATCAGTGTCGGTACCTGCAACAATATACGTTTCAACAGTACCAGTTATTGACACAACTTTTTTGTGCTTATTTTTGTTAATATGGAACTTTCCAAAATATCAGATGAGACATTTGAATCCCTTTCTAATGAAGAATAGAAAACACATCATTGAAATCAGTTTATTGAGGATTAGCTACTCCTACGAAGCTACAAGTTTTCTCAACTCCACGTTTGAGCATAACTGCACAATCATGGAACACATGGAACTGGTCATATTCAAACAATGTTTGTCTGGGCAGTTTCTATTTCATCGACATGATTGTTTTCCAATATTGTGAATAGATCATTACTCTGAGTGGTAGAAATCTATATTGACTCTACAGTTTTCATATTCCAGCCTTAGTAAAGCAAAAGGTGTCAATGGCTGAGGGGGTGTCAATAACTGATGTCACTACTCACCGGTATATCTGTTATGATCTTCATTACCTTTGAGACAATTCATGACGATTCGAATTACATTCAGCAATTGTTGATTGAGTTTCGATTTGAAAACAGATATTTTGACGGATTTCAATTGCTCCGACAATTGATGGTGTTATAAAGAGTATATATTATAAGAAGAACATCTACGGAATAATGTGGATCTATGTGGTGGAGGTGAGATGACAAATCTTAATCTTATATTTGAATTAGGAATGTCGGTGCAGTACTAGACTTTATCAGTTGAATATGCAGGACATTTAGTGATTAATTGCCTTTGGAATAGGAAAAAAATCAACCGCGCTCGGGAATGTACAGGTGACGATTTTTTTGCAACTATGTGGCTCTCTCATATCCTTATGTCACGCTCAAATCGTTAGATTATTGAAGCACACTTTCCTGCATGTAATCAAGGTACCATGTCTCATTCTGACACGCTCGAGTATTTCTAACGATCGATCCTTTTTTTCTAATCTGATCGGCTGCCCTGAACTTTCGACACCATATAAAAGGCCTAGGTATGGTGGGAGTACTTCACAAGGTCCAAGGATTTCCCCTTGTGTTGATCTGCTACGCTCGAGTTAAACCCGAAATCCCCGCTTGCGCTCCTCTACTAACGCGATACTCCTACCTAATCGGCGAATGTCGACTGCTGTTGCGACGCTAACGGTCAACGTCGTGAGTCGCAACCAGAACTGAAGCAGAACATAATGAAAAATGATGTTCGCTTGACAGATAACTGCCTCTGGGTTCATTTGAAGAAAAAAAAACTAGAAAATTTCAAAGTGCTTCGAATATTATCTCGGAAATTGAGAATTAGTGGTCAAACGAATGCCCTCCAAACGTTTGCCGGCGAAAGGCTGGCCCAAGCCGCTCGTTTGTCGAAATTTCTAAGCTCCCCGTATCCCGTACTCCGTTGTATTGAAGCGGCAAAATCGATTCTACTCAGAAGAGTTATATAAAATGATATTATAATTTCATTAGCAAAAACTGGTGAAGTGTTTCTGGAACAGGTAAACCTACAGTCAGTGGAGGAACACTACACCAGTTCCTGCCAATGTAATTCGCTGATAGGTATAGTTCACGAAATTTTAACGCCGCTCTAGTAGTTACTAAGGTAGATTCCTCTTCGGAAATTAGCGGCAGAATTTCATTGTCACATTACATTACTTCGCCTCCTGAACGAACAGACTATAGAATTCGGCTCATATAGTAGGTATGTCCACCTATCCGTGACAGTGACCACGCGGTCAATGTTTGTAATGGTTGGGTTCACATGTTGACCCAAATTCTGAATCACTCAACTATACAAATAACTCACTCATATAACATCAATATGCACACATATTTCCAGGATTCTATATGCATCTAATTTTTTAATATTACCAAATTGTTTGACTGATTTGAGGTTGTAAGCGTTATGATAGTGTGAACATGTATGCGGCTACACTCGATTTATCTAACCTTACATATTTCAAATGTCCTTTTCGAACCCCGTTCTCATGAATCACCTAGTTTGGCCCAATTACAACCAATTTCGTGAAAATTTATAAAAGTTTTGTTTATGAAGTGGCTGCGGTCAATGTTTCTGATTTCAAACTACGAAAAAGAAAGATAAGATGTACGTCTTGAAGACGTCTGGTGCTGATTGAGGTTGACATATGCAGGTTATCAAGAGAAGTAACTACAAAAAATCCGATTGTAACGATGGAACACAGAATGATCATCATCAACAGGTCAGTAGTTTTAACAATGAATATATTGTATAAATGTCTAATAATCTTACCTTGAGGGATTCGGGTAAATAGTTGCCCAAAAATTCTATAATTTCCGGAAGCTCTGATTCATCTACCAATCTGAACTGTTTTCCTTCTTGTAAGACTTCTTCCATAGCTGTAAAATTTTAAAAATTGTATTACTCTCCCCATTCAACTGATTCAATTTGATAATTTGAAAGGATCCGAAGATGGAATTCAAATTATAGATTATCCCTGTGTACCCATCGTGTATATCAAAATTCAGTAGTCCATGAGAATACAGCTCACTAAATCGTCGAACAGAATGCCAAATCGAAATGACCTATATATTCCTTCAAACAGTATACCGGGTGACAGCGAATCATTGGCAAGGAGGCCATTCAGTTGTTGCATATGTGAGATTTCTGACAGTTGCCTCCTGGCAGTTTCACCAAAAACAGACCTAGGGTAATAAGATGCCCTCTGGTTATTCTCACAGCGCAGTAGATATTTCCTTCAAGCAACCCAATGAATAAGCAAATAAACGAAGCAGTTCGATTAGAATGTTATTGGACATACAGGTTCATGATATATTTTGTTGAGAGGAGACAAGTCGCTCCCAACATATTTGAGAAGACCATATTCGTTTCTTGACGACGCCGGAATCCTTCAGGTGGGTGGAAGGCTCGGAAATGCTCCTATATTATTTGATATAACATATTTTGATTCCTAGCAAGAGCCAGTTCACTGACCTTTCGATCGAAAAATTGCATCCGAAATATTGTCATGCTGGTGTCCAGACAATTCAATATTTGATTTCTCAAAAGATGTGGATACTCGCCTTCAAGAAATATATTCGCCGAGTGCTTACGCGATCTGTGTTGGAAGACTAATCCACGATCTACTCAGCCTCCGAGGGGTGATCTTCCGCGTGCTCGTGTTTCTCGACTAAAATGGTTTCTGCATGCTGAAGTGGACTTTGCTGGACCACTCCAGATGTCAATGTCTCACTCTTCAGGAGCCAAGGTGCTGAAATCACAGCTTTGCTTGTTCGTGTGTATGGCTAGGCTGTTCATTTGAAACGTATTTCAGTCCTGTCTGCTGATTCCATTTCAGTCGCCTTGAGGCGTTTCGTTGCTCGACGAGGACGTTGTGTGCACTTGTATAGTGATTGTCGCACTAATTTCGTTAGTTGAACGCAATGTTTGCTACCTCATTTTTACAGAAACATATAGTTTTCACTCCAACCCCCCTCAGCTCCTCACAATGGAGGATTATGAAAATCAGGAGTGAAATCGGTTGAATCGCATTTTGTTCGTGTAGTTGGGGTTCGAGTGTTCCCCTTCGAAAAGTTGCTAACGGTTTTCACCAAAATTAAGTCTATCACTCCAGGTCACTTCCTTTCTTGATTTTCGGGACATTCCACTCAACCGCCTCTTCAGATGGCAACTTATTAGTCGCATGCATCAAGTTTTGTGGGACAGGTGGTCTGAGGAGTACCTTCATACTCTACATCAGAGAACGATATGGACCGCTTAATCAGTTCCCTCGACCATTTGTTTCCTCGTCTTCATCAAGATGGACAATGTTCCTTGCCTGAAATGGCATTTGGGCCGTGTCACTGCCACCTTTCCGGGTGCAGACGGTAAAATGAGCGTGGTTTTCGTCAAAACGGCTAATAGAATGAAAGCGACCAGTGACAAAACTGTGTCCATTACCTCTCGAAAGTAGGATGAAATATTAAGTATTTCAGGTGGCCGACATGTTTTGTCCATGCTCAAATTTCCTCATGATCCCGTGTCACGTATATATTTGTTAGATATTAGGATTTCATCATTGAATATGATTTCTCTGATATTTGTTAGTCAACCAAAATCTAGTTGATTTCGGACTTCCTCTGGTATGAAATTTTGCCGCAAAGAACACCTTCAATATTCAATTAACACGACCTCCGCGATAAAAATGGAAATACTTGAGACTTGGTAGCAAGACGTTCACGTATGTATGCCTTTTCTATGGGGCGCCGTTTGGTTCATAATTATTTTTTCGATATATAGAAATTTCAACGCGGAGTTTTCAGAAGATCGTTTTCTTATAACATCGCTATCGTCGTGAATGATCTGATAAAACTCACCTTTTTCTTTTTTTATATGAATCCGAATGCCTTCAAGAACAAATTCAAATGCTATTTATTTGATAAGCAGAATAATCGAGAATAATCAACCCTAGATTTATTGTAGTTTGGTAACCATTCAACAATTGGAAGAAACTTAAAATGGCTTTGGTGGAAGAACAGGCTCAGAAGTTCAACTTCTGATATCTGAACCATACAGCCTTTTATCTACCCTCTCAAAATGTTCACCGTTCGAATCATCAATTCATTTGTATATTTAATTTTGGGTATATAATAAACGTATTTATTATTATTATTATTATTATTATTATCATTATACAGGGTGTTTCGAAATTCGACCGACAACGTTTGACAGGTGATAGCCCTCGTGATTTCATAATCATTGAGATAGGAACATTCGGTCTTCAAGTGTTCAGTTCTCGAGATACAGGGCGTTGAAGTTGAGAAATGAAAATAGTTGTTTCGCAATATCTCAAGAATAATTGAATATAATGCATTCAACTTCGGTATATGGTTTCATCTTTGAATGGGCCATTTTTTGACCTGGAAGCCATTCCGGACATTTTGTCCAGTGGTGCCCTACAGGGGGTTGTGGCATTTTTTCCTTCCATATTTTCTACGCCACTGATTGAATTTCGATTATTTCCAATTCCTCGAATTCATTGTTCAATTTTGTTCAGAAAATGCATCACCTTCAACTGAGCTGAAATAAACAGTTTTCGAGATATTCGACCCAAAATAGAAGATTGCATAGTAATATTTCATCATTTTCAGTAGTAGAAAATTGCAAAAATATTTTTCTGGTGTTGAGTAGATTAGATACTATTCAGATCTCATTAAATAGTTGAACAGAAATAGTTATTCCACACATGAAGAGAAAACAAAAATTTTCGTAATTTTTTACTACCGAGGAAGATGAAAAATTACCATGCATACTTCAATTTTGGGTCAAATATCCCGATAACTGTTCATTTTAGCTCAGTTGAAGGTGATGCATTTTTTCAACATAACTGAACAAACAATTCGAGAAATTGGAAATAATTGAAATTTCATCAGTGGCGTAGAAAATATGGGAGGAAAAGTTATCACAACCCTCTGTAGCGCATCTCTGGATAAAATTCTCGGAATGTCTTTCTGGTCAAGAAATTAATCAGTGGAAGATGAAACCATATACCGAATTTGAATGCATTATATTCAATTATTCTTGAGATATTGCGAAAAAACTATTTAAATTTCTTAACTTCAACGCCCTGTATCTCGAGAACTGTCCCTATCTCAGTGATTATGAAATCACGAGGGCTATCACCTGTCAAGCGTTGTCGGTCGAATTTCGAAACACCCTGTATATAGAAAAAATCTTATATAAGATACGAAATTATCAATATTATATGCAACATTTCTTATATCGTGTGAAAAATGTTCTGTATATTCAAGTGCGACGAAATTTCAATATATATTAGTATGCCTCGCGCCTTTTGGTTCATAATTATTATTCGTAATAGATAAAATTTTTACTGAATTTATATAGAAAAAAGTCTATATCGAATGCCCAAATTTTATATATGACGAAATCTTTATATATTTGCGTGTCAGGAAAGTCTATACAGGGTGATTCAAAAGTAAGCGGCATCCTTTCAGAGGCGTATTCCTTGCTTGAAAATAAGGCAAAAAGTTCCTATTGATAAGGATCCGAAAATGCTTCCTAAGGGAGCTACGGCCCTTTGAATAGGACACCTCAAAGACGGTTTTTTCTCTATAACTTTAAAATCCTTCACAACAAATTTTTAAAAATTGGTGTACGGCATAAACATTCGATGGTAAATAGGACTCCGTATTCGAAATTTCAGAATTTCATTCAGGGGCGTCACATGCGGGAGAGGGTAAGTGTAAAAATATCCCTTCTTCTCCGGATATTCAGGTTACTGTGATTTCGTTTGGAAATTATTTCGAATACGGAGTCCTATTTACCATCGAATGTTTATGCCGTACACCAATTTTTAAAAATTTGTTGTGAAGGATTTTAAAGTTATAGAGAAAAAACCGTCTTTGAGGTGTCCTATTCAAAGGGCCGTAGCTCCCTTAGGAAGCATTTTCGGATCCTTATCAATAGGAACTTTTTGCCTTATTTTCATGCAAGGAATACGCCTCTGAAAGGATGCCGCTTACTTTTGAATCACCCTGTATTTGCGCGTCGCGAAAGTTTATATTTGGTTGTACCAGTGTGTGCTGAAATAGACTTTCGGGTTCCAGGGTTTACCGATAGGTGGCTGAACGCAGTTGGACGTCAGCACAGAATGAGGTTAGAAGATCTGGCAACACTGAGGTTCTAAGAAATGCATTGCTATTCTGTGTCTATATAATGTAGCTTTAGAAACACCAAGTAATCCTGATATTCTGGTCCAACCCAGACCTGATGTTTTTTGAATCCTTAATTGTTCTTCAGAAATATCATACTTCGGGGGACCAACACTGTTACTGCTAGTTGATGAAGTAAAATATACAAAGCTTCGATCCTGCGAATCAACAGTGTTGGGAACATGCTCAATTTGACCATAAATATCAAACAGTATATTTTAAACTGATGATAATAACTGTTTCAACCTTTCACAGGCCAGTATATTATCAATGAATATGTTCAACAACCTACAGTTGTCCTCAATTTTCCACTGAGCTTGGGATAAGGCTCTTGAAGAATCTCCTTGAGAAAGTAGATTCACCACATTATCGTGACATTCAACAATTTCATTGAGAAACTCTTCCACTGGAACCGTTGGGAAATACATTTTTACTCGAAAAAAAAAAATAATTGTGAGGTTGAAGATTATGTAAAATAGAAAAATGTATTCTCATTCTTCTCCATTCCTTCTCCATTCTAGGCAGATGAGTATTTTGGACACAACCAGAATATAATAATATCAGTGTTGCCAGATCCTCTAACCTCATTCTGTGCTGACGTCCAGCCGCGTTCAGCCACCTATCGGTAAACCCTGGAACCCGAAAGACTATTTCTGCAAACACTGGTAA